CCAAAGTGCTGAGATTACAGGTGTGAGCCACTGCACCCGGCCCGGGTGTTAAAATTCTTAAACACCATACACTGTGCTTTTCACAGTGATTATCTCAGGGAAGTGGGATTCAGGAGGAAATCGAACTGTGAGTTATTTTTTCATTTGTTTTAACCTATGTGTATCACTTTTATAATACCTATTTGGGGGAGAGTGGACTTTTGTTCCCAGTAACTCTTATTCTACCTTATATGAATTTGTCTATTCTAGGCACCTCATGTAAGTGGAACCATGCTATATTTATCCTTTTGTGATTGGCTTGGCTTAGCCTAATATTTTCAAGGGTCATCCATATTGTAGTATGTATAAGTTATTAGTAAGCTTTTTGTATGTATTAGTAAGCTTTGTGAAGCTTAATATTCTCTTGTATGTATATACTACATTCTATTTATCCATTCATCTGTTGACACTTGGGTTGTTCCCACCTTTTGGCTATTGTAAATATGCTGCTATGAACTTAGGGGTACAAGTATCTGACTTCCTGCTTCTGGTTCTTTTGGTTATATACCTAGGAGTGGAATCGCTGCATCATAATTCCGTTTAACTTTTTGAGGTACTGCCAAACTTTTCCACAGTGGCTGTACCATTTTGCATTCCCACCAGCAATGTACAACGGTTTTCTCTACTTTCTAGCTAATACACGTTATTTTCTGCTTTTGTTTTTGTCTTTTAAATAACAGCCATCCTATTAACAGTGAAGTAGTATCTCACTCTAGTTTTGATTTGCATTTCCCTAATAGTGATGTTGAGCATCTTTTCATGTGTTTATTGGTCATTTGTGCCTCTTTGGAGAAATGTCTGTTAAAGTCCTTTGCCCATTTTTGAATCAGTTTGTTGTTGTTGTTGACATTTAGGAGTTCTTCATATATTGTGGCCATTAATCCCTTATCCAGATACTGATTTGAAAATATTTTTCTCCCATTCTGTGGTTTCTCTTTATAGTGTCCCTCAATACACAATTTTTAAATTTTGATGTTCAGCTTATCTATTTTTTTTGTTCCCTGTGCTTTGGGTGTCACATCAAAATCATTGCCAAATCTAATGTCATCAAGCTTTTCCCCTATGTTTTCTTCTAAGAGTTTTTATAGTTTTAAGACTTATATTTAGATCTTTGATCTATTTTAGTTTTTGTATATGGTGTGAGGTAAGAGTCCAACATAATTCTTTTGCATGTTCATATCCAGCTTCCCCAGCACCATTTGTTGAAAAGATTGTCCTTTCCCCATTCAGTAGTCTCGCCATTCTCATCAAAAATCAGTTGACTATATATGTAAGAATTTATTTCATTGCGCTATATTGTCTGTCCTTATGCCAGTGCCACACTCTTTTGATTTTACTGTACCTTTGTAGTAAGTTTTAAAATCAGAAAGTGTGAGTCCTAGAACTTTGTTGTTCTTTTTCAAAATAGTTTTGGCTATTCAGGATTCCTTGAGATTCTGTGTGAATTTTAGGATAGGGTTTTCTATTTCTGCAAAATTTTCTATTGGGATTTTGATATGAATTGCACTGAATCTGTAGATTGCTTTGGGTAGTAATAATCATGTTAACAATATCAGGTCTTTCAATCTGTGAATGCAGGGTGTTTTGAGGACTTTAAAAATTTCTTTCAGCAGTATTTTGTAGTTTTCAGGTATAAGTCTTTCGTCTCCTTAAATGTATTCCTAAGTGTTTTCTTGTTTTTGACACTACTATAAGTGGAATTGTCTTAATTTCCTTTTTGGAAATGCCTAACAATGAATACATTGTTAGTGTATAGAAATGCAGCTAATTTTTGTGTGATTTTATATCCTGTCTTTTCATTCTCTTGAAAGTATCTTTTACAGAGCAAAAATTTTTAATTTTAATGAAGTCCTGCTTATAAATCCTTCTTTCATGGATTGTGCCTTTGGTGTTGCATCTAAAAAACCATTGGAAAGCCCAAGGTCATCTGGATTTTTTCATGTGTTATCTTCTAAAAGTTTTATAGCTTTGATCCATTTTGTTAATTTTTGTGGAGGATATAAAGGTCTGTATGTAGATTTTACTTTTTATTTTTTGGCAGGTTAATGTCCAATTCTAGTACCATTTGTTGAAAAGACTATCCATCCCCTATTGTATTGTCTCTGCTCTTTTGTCAAAGCCAGTTGACTATATTTATGTGAGTCTATTTCCGGGTGCTGTATTCTGTTCCACTGATCTGTTTTCTTTCTTTCACCAGCACACTGTCTTGACTAATATAGCTTTGTAATAAGTCTTGGAGTAATAGTCTTCCAGTTTTGTTCTTCATTGTTGTATTTGCTATTCTATAATAAAACTTAATTTTGTCACTATCCACAAAATAATTTGCTGGTTTGAGATTGCACTGAATCTATGGATCCAGTTGGGACATATTATTAATAGTGTCTTCCTATCCATGAACACAGGATGTCTTAAAGTCTTTTAAAATTTCTTTCAGCAACGTTTTATAGTTTTCAGGTACAGTCAATTTAACTTTTTAACTTTAGGGTTTTCTGCATGAGATCATGTGATCTGTCAACAGAGATAATTATACTTTTTCCTTTTCATTTTGGATGCTTTTTTCCTTGCCTAATTACTCTAGTTAAAACATAAAATACTATGTTGAACAGGAGTGGCAAAAGTGAGCATCCTTGTCTTCCTGATTTTAGAGGAAAAGCTTTCAGTCTTTCACCATTGAGTGTAATGTTCACTATGATTTTCATACATGGCCTTTGTCATGGTGAAGTTCTCCTTTTTTCTAGTTTGAATGTTCAAATGATGATTTTAAATGTGGAAAATAGTGTTTTTTATACAATTTTTCCTTTCTTCATTTCTTATTTTCCCTATGACCCACCTGTCCCTGCCTGATGAATGTCCCTTTGCTGATGAATGTGTCCATGACTTCAGCTTCAGAGCTTACAAGTAACATAGTGATTTGTCTGAAGGGATTCTTAGTGCCAGCCAGTCTGCCTGCCGTGTAGTCACTGCTCTTGGTAGCTAGAGATGTGGAACTTGGGAGGCCTCTGAGGACAGCATCACTCCATTTGCAAGTTTATGTGTAGTGTCTGAGACTTGCTTCAGGAAGTATAATGTCAAAATAATGTAATACATCCTTTCCCAGGAATTATTCTTGACATAAAATAGCAGGTTGGCAATGCAGTATATTTGTGGGAAATTGAGGAAATAATGGTAACTGTCCAGTGGAAGTTAAAGGTTCAAAAAAAGAAGTGAGAATTGAGTTGCAGGGAGGCAGTAGGATATGCCTTCTAGGTACTGGGCTCAGGCAACAAAGGCATATTCAAGACTGTCTAGGCCCCTGATACACAGGGCCTGTCTAGTCCTCTGTCACACTTTGCCTCCAGTTTCCCTGACGGGAGGATGTCTGCCACTGTCACGGACAGAAAGGCTGTGGCCTGGAAACTTGTCTTTGTACTCGAGTGCTTTTCCATACACAGCTAGGTTTCTGCTTGCTACCCAACTTTAATAAATATATTTTTTAAAGATACATACCTGGTCTATAAAGACAAATGATTAACATAAGAGTCAGGAAAACAGCTACTTCTGGGCAGAGGAAGGGGAATGATCTTTGGTAAGAAGCACACGGCCACACAGGTTGCCCACTGCACAACTCTAGGAGATGCCATGCTGTGCAGAGTCCATAGGCATTCATATTTTTTTCTACAGAGTAACGTACATTTTATATAGATTTATGACTATCTGATTGCATCAGGAATTGGCAAACTGTCTCAAAAGGACCAGAGAATAAATACAGTAAGTCATCATTTAATGTCATCAATAGGTTCTTGGAAACTGCAAGTTTTAAGGCAAAATGACATACAGGAGGTCCTCCAGTAAGTTTCCTTTTATGTTTAGTTGTAACATTGATGAGGAAAAAAAATGGTTTCTTTATACATTGTTTCACATAAAGTCACAATTTTCAAGAACCTGTCATGACAGTCCTCAATGTATTTTAATCTTTGCAACACATAAGGTCTCTGCCCCAGTGACTCAGTTTGGTGTAGTGTAAATGCAGCCAAAAAATAATGTAAACAAATGGGCATGGCTGTGTTCCAGGGAAACTTTATTTACAAAACCAGGTGGCTGACTGGATTTGTTTTAGGGCTATAGTTTACCAAACTCCAGGTTACACAATTAAATCTTTAAAAGAAAAAAGAAATGTAGCTGTGATTTATCTAGGAACTGAGAGTACAGAGTCTGGACAGAGAAAGTTGATAGCAAAGCCTTCTGTGATCTATGTTTATATATTTTTTGAGATGGAGTTTCGCTTTTGTTGCCCAAGCTGGAGTACAATGGTATGATCTTGGCTCACTGCAACCCCTCACCTCCCAGGTTCAAGCGATTCTCCTGCCTCAGCCTCCTGAGTAGCTGGGATTACAGGCATGCGCCACCATGCCCACCTAATTTTTGTATTTTCAGCAGAGACAGGGTTTCTTCATGTTGGTCAGGCTGGTCTTGAACGCCTGACCTCGTGATCCGCCTGCCTCAGCCTCCCAAAGTGCTGGTATTACAGGCGTGAGGCAACACACTCGGCCATCTATGTTCATTTTTAAATGATCTAAATTTGATTTTTTTTAATGAGCTTGGAGCTTTGTCTTCTATACTGTAACACATTGACAGATAACTGCAATTGAAACTTTGAATTCATCAGGAAACCATTTTCTCAGAATTATCCAGATGAATTTTCATTAATAGTAAAACCAACATAATTGTTCATCACCAGATGTCAGGCATGATGCCAGGTGCTTTACACGTTATTTCTCTTTATTACAATAGTTCTTAAAAGTAGGTATTTTTTTGTCTTCAGTTTGCAACTGAGAAAGGTTAACTTTTCTAAGGTTGTATAGCTAATAAAGCTGCAATTTTAAACCTGGGTCATTCTGCTTCAAAGTTCAGTCTTTTTTCTACAGTACATTGCCTCTATATAAAAGGCATCGTTTTAATGCTGCCAAAATCAATTTGTTTAGATTGTCTTCGCAGTTTTACTGACTTAGAAGAACTCGATGAGACAGAGTTATATATGTGCCATAAATGCAAAAAGAAACAAAAGTCCACAAAAAAGTTTTGGATTCAAAAACTACCCAAGGTGAGTGTTGAATTTCAAGTTATGAAGCAATTTCAAGGGGAAAACGCTTGACTCATAAGACCATGTCTATAACTTTATACTATATGAACTGTTCTGTATTTGTCTCTAGGGTTTTCAGTAAAAGTGAAAGCCTTTACAGAATGAATGCATAAGGTATGCATGGAAGAATGATTGATAGAGTAGCTAAAATGTTATTTAAGAGACTGTAGTACTGAACTGATAGTACTATCAAACTTTTGACTGAAAGGTAAATTAGGTGTTCACAATCTTTGACCTCATCTCTGTCCTCCAGGTGCTATGCTTACATTTGAAAAGATTTCATTGGACAGCATATTTAAGAAATAAAGTTGATACATATGTAGAGTTTCCACTGAGAGGCCTGGACATGAAATGCTACTTACTAGAGGTAAGGTGATTACCGTTTTAGCATGGCGAAAAGACTGTCATCACATGGAGAGGGCAGAAGTCATCGAGATAGGAGATGTTGATGTCATTGATCACTGTTCCTAACTCCATCCTGTGGATGCCTTCTTCCTTGTTCTGTAGCCCGAGAACAGTGGCCCAGAGAGCTGCCTGTACGACCTCGCCGCTGTGGTGGTGCACCATGGTTCCGGGTGAGTACAGCCAGCTTCTGTTGGATGGGAGTATCTGGTGGCCTGCACAGTGACCTGCAGTTTTGCACCACTCTTGATAGTTCTCCCTAAACTCCGTAAAAAATGGATTGAGATACAGTTAAGTGGGTGGAATTTCCTTCAGTTTTGGTGTGGAAGAGTACTCCTGAGATGATGTTGTGAGACCTTAAGGGAAGGTATATAAAAGTGAAACGGAGGTTCATTTGAACCCAGTCTATTTGTGCCCAAAATCCTGAGGCATCCTTACTCCAAATAGCTTATTTCTTTGCCATATGAAATTTAAATGGGGCAAAAAAGGGGAAATTATTTGGAAGACCTTATTCCATGTCATCTACTTTAAAGACTCATTTTAAATGTTAACATTATTTTTCCCCCTGCAAGTTTGTGTTAGGGTCTATCCTTCTAGTGTTTGGTCTGAGGGTAGCTATTTTACCTTCAAACTTAGTACTACTGTATGTGGGCAAACAACTATCCATGTTGAAAATCCTTTTCCCGCAGAGGTTTGAAGTCGCGGTAATGTCTACGCTCACACAGTGTTACATATGACAAGTCTTATTCTCACTGCTTTATAGGCACCTGGCTTTCTTCTCCTTGGAAGTTTGTAGGATCCTCTATCTTTGGACTTAAATATCATTAAATGTATTCCTGCTTGGTAGCTGGTAGGGACACTTTTAGTTTGGTGCCTTCAGCTCATGAAAATGTTTTATACTGCAGGTCTTACCCCATTCTTGCTTCTCTGTTCTGGAACCCCTACTATATGCATAGTGAATTTCCTGGATCTCTTTTCCACATGTCTTAAATATTCTTTAATCATTTCTATCTCTGTTTCTAAAGACTGCCATGGCCTACTTTTCCAAATCACCAATTTGGGTTTCATCTGTATCCAAATAAAAGATTAGCTCCTCCATATAATATTTATATTGCAGCAATCACATTTTTCTGGTAACTTTTTCATAACAGCCTATTATTATTTTATGGTTGCACTATCTTTTTGAAACTCTTAGCACTAATTAAAAAATTACAAAGCTCTCTTAGGTTTCCTGCATTGAGTTCCTCAGGGTTGATTGCTTTACTTGTTCTTCCTAGTATTTCTTCCCCTCAAAAATGTGATAGGAGTGCAGAGGCTTAAGTATTTTTAAAATCTGGTGTTGGTAGTTTATTCTGAATCACAGTAAATGATGAATTGGATCTTTATTGTTTAAACAGGGTTTTCCTGGCAGTTACGAAGGTCTGTTCTACCTGCAGGCCTGACTCTAAGGTTCCATGTATGAGTGGGTAGTTCATGCTGACAGGGAAGAGCCCCCAATGACCACGGTATCAGAGAAGTGTGCCCTTCTTTGTTAAGCTTAGTTTTTTCCCAAGATTCTGATGGGAAAATCTGGTACTCAGTTTTACATGTTTCCGTAGGCCTTGACCTATGCTTGTTAGGTTGAGAGTTCCTCATCTCCGTTTCCTCCGTTAGTCCAGGACCGTCTGCTTTGTGTTCTAGCAAACCCTCAATTTCTGGTCAGTTTGGAGGAAGGTAAAAACATGAGTTTAAACTAAAAGTCTGGGATGTATTCTTTACCTATTGAAATTTAAATCTAACATGATATAGTTGTACAGATCCTTTTGTGATTTCTGAGGTTTTTCTTTGGTCTTTTGCCTCTTTTTTACAGGGTTGGTTCTGGACATTACACAGCATACGCAACTCACGAAGGCCGCTGGTTCCACTTCAATGACAGTACTGTAACACTGACTGATGAGGAGACTGTGGTGAAGGCAAAGGCCTACATCCTTTTCTACGTGGAACGCCAGGCCAGAGCTGGATCAGATAAACTTTAATACCTCCTCCTAATCATCATTCATCAACCATACCAGAGAAACATTTCCAGTTTTCCACAAATACTTGATCCAAGATTTAATTTCATTATGCACTTTTCAATTTCCTATTTTGGGTTTAGTTTTGTCAATGGTAGTGACTTACTGAACATGGGCACCAACTAATTTTGTTGTTGTTCTACCAGAAAACCTCAGCAGATGTTTTGATTTGCTGCTTTAGTTGTAATAATTCAATTTTTATATGTAGTTTTAAGAACTTAGTCTTATTTGACTTTTTTATGTTAATGTTTTCAGTTCTCACTTTGAGGCACATTTACATCAATGCTTTTGTTACTCACACTTTTCACAGCTGTAGTGGAGATCACGTTGACTCTAAATCAAGGATCATGTGTGCACTTAACTTGTTGCCCACAAAATTTCACAGTGACTGCTGAGCAATCCTCCTTTTTGCCTGTAAAAGATAACAAAGGGCATCATTAAGTAGACCAGGTAATTACTGCTTGTTTCAAGGCTGCTGTTTATCAGCACTAACTAAATAAATTTGTTGGTTCAGTTGTACCTGTCCTGCAAATACTAAAATTACTCTTTGTTGGCTTTTTCGGTTTTGGGGCATACTTGTTTGCGGGGAGGTAAGATGAGAGTAAAGACCAAATGCATTTAATGTTTAAAAAACATCATTGACATGGTATAGGTGTTACCTAGTGAGGTAAAGCCATGGCATCTGCCTCCTTTTTGAATCAGTGTCTCATTTCCTGTGGTTGTAGGACAGGAAGTCACTGCGTGTCCACTTTAGACTTACTGCTTATTTGGTATCTTAGTCTGAGGTGTGAACCTCTGGTATGTACTTCAATCATCACCTGCATTTCAGTTCATCACTAGGGGAGTCTGATTCCACAGGAGGAAATTTAGTCTTTGCTGCTCTGGGTTTTAACACCCCTCATTGGCCTATCCTGATAGCAGAACAAGTTGAAAATAATAATCTCATTTTGAGTAAGTAGTTTTCATGGTTTAGTTTTTCTTATTGAGACAGAGTCTCCTTCTGTTGCCCAGGCTGGAACGTAATGGTACCATCTCAGCTCACTGCAACCTCCATCTCCCAGGTTCAAGCAATTATCCTGCCTCAGATCCCGAGTAGCTGGGATTACAGGCACCCACCATCACGCCCAGCTAATATTTTTTATTTTTAGTAGAGACAGGGTTTCACCATGTTGGCCAGGCTGGTCTTAAAAACTCCTGACCTCACGTGCTCCACCCGCCTCAGCCTCCCAAAGTGCTGAGATTACAGGCATAAGCCACCATGCCCAGGCTGTTCTATTAAAAAAGAAAAATGGTCAAGATGTTTTTAAGCTTATGAATGTAAAAACAGTCTGGTGGGCTGGGCGTGGTGGCTCACGCCTGTAATCCCAGCACTTTGGGAGGCTGAGGCGGGTGGATCACGAGGTCAGGAGTTCGAGACCAGCCTGGCCAATATGGTGAAACCCCATCTCTACTAAAATTATAAAAATTAGCCAGGCATGGTGGCAGGTGCCTGTAGTCCCAGCTACTCAAGAGACTGAGGCAGGATAATCGTCTGAACCCAGGAGGCGGAGGTTGCAGTGAGCCGAGATAGTGCCATTGCACTCCAGCCTGGGCAACGGAGCGAGACTGTCTCAAAAACAAAAAGTCTGGTGGCTCTCCCTCAGGTTGGATATCTGAAGTTGTAGGAGCAGGTGTAGCTCCATTCCACTTTAATATTAACTGGATAAATCACCTATCTTCCCAGAGCATATCGGCTAAACACTTTAACATGACAAGGAGCAAACTGCAATTATGTATAAACCTATATCCTCCAATACTATGCCTCCTAGCTACAAGTGGTTATTGAAATTTAAATCAGAAACTCAGTTCCTTCAGTTACACTCACCACCTTTCAAGTACTCAACACCCACATATGGCCTTAGACAGTGCTGGCCTAAATTTTCACTCCAAAGCATAAAGTTTGCCATCATGTTTACATCTTACAATTTAGAGTCCTAAAAGGTCATAGGGAAATGTGTGCTTATATTAATTCACAATGCTAAATTATATTAGGTTAAACTGTATGAAACTGCTATTTGACAAGTTTCTGAGCTACAAAAATGACAGTTCCACCTGATCTGATCTATCGGTACATCACCACATCTAATTGAACCTGAAATGTGAGTCGCCTTTGATCTTGGGAAGTATTTCCTATGAATCCAGGCTCTTTGACTTAGAAGATTGAGAGCTGTAACTTCTAACACTGATACTTCGCTCTTCAGTCTCTCTGAATGGGCAGCTGTTATAACTTAAAACAGTATAGGCCTGGTCAGAGTTGATGGCGAAAAGCAGCTGTATTTTTATACCAAATGGAACTTTTTAGCAACAGATTGGACTACTTTGTCGGGCAAAGTGGTCTTCAGACAGGTGATGCTATTGGCTTAAGAGATGAACATGTCTTCTCTCTGAATTTGTTTTTATTGGTTGGTTTTACTTGAACAGAAGCGTCTGGATGGTATCATGAAGATTGTTTAGAAAAGTGATTGGATCCATTTGAATTGTGCACTTGAACACCAGTGATGTAAATGTGCCTAATTGTATTTTAATTTTTAACTGTGTAGCCTTACCACACCTATTTTGAAAGCTGATCTTTTGTGCTCTCCAGGGCTTTCCCCTGGTGCCATGTTGTCTCCAGCATGTATGTGGCTTCTCACTCAGAGCTTCTGCTGAGGCGGGGCCTCTCACTGAGTCAGATGGCTCCTTGGAACAAGAAAACTTTCTCAGAAGTCCTCCCACACAGGTGGGTGATAGAAACAGTTTGTGGCAACACAAATCTCTCTCCATGGTGGAGAAACCTTTGCTTATCCACTGTATTCTACTCAGTGTATAGTGATGACAAATGTACTAGAATTAAACCAGTCAAGTGTACTGGCCCAGGGTGAGTGTTAAATGTGTATCTCGCCTGTGGAACCTACTCAGCAGCTTGGTTTCTGGGGTTGGGGACATATTTATTTCTTAAAGCCAAACCTCTCCTTTATTGGTTTAGTGTACACAAGTCTATTTAGATACACTTATCCCACTTTAACCTCCACCAGCCCCTAAACTCTCTCCTGTAACCTCTGCTGCTGAAGTGGCCTCTTCACTTGGGCCCTGGAAAAGCCCATGGAAAAAAGTGCGTTCCTGCAGCCAAGGCCTGGGTCCCAGGTGACTAAGAGTAGCCATAGGAAGGTGAGTAAGGAGAAGTGGGCATGTGGTGTCTGTAGTCCAAGGTCTCTGCGTCTCATTAGTGGGTGCAGGGCCTTCCCCCTCAGGTGTGAGCATGATGGACTCTAGACTGCCTTTCATGAGCGTTGGTCATGCTGTGATGTCATCATCTGCCATTAAAACCCAGTTTGTATGATGCCAAGAGGATTGTTTAATTGTGCAAGTGACTGATTCATTTAAGTTGTAATCACATCCCTTTTCTGCTTCACCAACCTGAACTGTTTTAAAAAATATCATTAAAAGTCTGTTCTCTTTACTTTGACTTATTTCTGAACACCTTTTTTCAGTGGAGCCACATAAATCATGATGTACTTACTCAAGCTGTGCGCCAACAGAATCCCCATGATTTGGAGCTGCTGTACCTGGGCCAGGATGAAGTAACCTGTACTGACAAAGAGATGGCCGGGAGATTAGTGCCTGCAGTCAGGTGCCTGAGGTCCCACTCACCCTTACCCACTGAAATCCTTCTCAATAGCTTGTGACTACTGATCTTACAAAAATGAGGCCCCTTCCCTCCCCTTTAGAGCTAGACTGTACTCTGAGGCACCAGTATTGGGGCTCTGGGTAGAGGATACTGGTCATCTTTTAGGGTAAAAACAGGCAAATAAGTGCTGTTTAAATAAACCTCCTGCTTACAGTACGTTCCTATAGACTACCTCTCTGCCCCCATGCCTCCTGCAAACAGAACCACGTTCTTCATTTGCCTGGTCTTGTCAGTCTTCTTAAAGTTGAAGACACAGATGCCTGCAGCTCAGATTGTTCTGCATCTTTGTTCCCTGGGGCACATTCTCTTTTGGCAGCTGTGCTGCTCAGAGGCTGCATGGTTGCTGTCGCTGCTGCCAAACAGCGTAGCTCCAGAGAAGGCCGAAGGGGCAGACCCTCTGCAGTAGGCAGGAGCACATCTGCAACCCCCCTGCCCCCGCCCCCTGCCCCGGGGCCCAGTAGTCCAAGATGCTTCCTGCAGGCTACCTGGAGGAAGAACAGAGGGGCAAGGCTTTAAACGTTCTTCCCTGCCAATCTTGCCATTCCAGCAGGGCTGCAGTAGTGCAGCTTGGAAGCCACGCTGAAGCACAGTGACTCTTAGTGGAAGGCACGATTACCACTCTCGCCTTGCAAGAAGTTCAAAGAACCTCTATTCCTAAGGGTCAACCCTCTGAAAAGCACTGGTTTGAGGAGGATAAGGGAGGGAAAGTGGAGATAACATGGCTTTCTAATCACACTGTGGTATTGCAGCATACATTTTAAGTGAAGAAGTACACCTAGACAGAGTGTCAGCTATAATTTAGAACTAAATTGATGAGCTTGAAATAACAGCAGTGGCTGGCTCCCCTTCCTTGAGAAATGCTTCCTTTTGACTGTTCCTTGGTCTGTTTTTAAGAGAATCCCCCCTTGGCCAGGCGCAGTGGCTCACGCCTATAATCCCAGCACTTTGGGAGGCCGAGGCCGGTGGATCACGAGGTCAAGAGATCGAGACCATCCTGGTCAACAAGGTGAAACCTCGTCTCTACTAAAAATACAAAAAAATTAGCTGGGCATGATGGTGCGTGCCTGTAGTCCCAGCTACTCGGGAGGCTGAGGCAGGAGAACTGCTTGAA